ATCCGGCCGTGACTTTTATCGCGGCATGAATGGGGAACCGTAACGGTGCGACCGGTTCACACGAGGCCATGTCTCGTCATTGGGAATACACCTGATGTCGATGGCCGGTTCTTTCGAATACGTGTAACGATTTTACGTGTAAGTAGGTGATGGTCTCCTTTTCCGCGCGCGTATACATCGAAGCTGGTCCGAAGAGGAATTTAGCTCTTTCTTCTTTGACATCAACATTGATATCTTGTTTTTTTCCTCTTTTTCCACGATAAGAAAAAACAAGATAAGTCTGGATAGTGCGAGGAGAAAATGGAGAAAATTGGAAATGAAGGAAATTTGAAGATATTTTATTTTCTTTGAAAAATTCTTCAAGATAAAAAGAGAAAGTATGGATGCTTCTTTCACTTGTATTTAAAACTATTATTTTTAATTTCATATATTTCATAAGATTGAAATCGTTTTCAAAAGAATGTTTTTAATTTTTCCTAAATTTCTAATTATCAATGATTAATTTAATTTGATTGAATGTTGGTTTATTTGAAAAATTGTGTTTCATCAGATAGAAAAGATCCATTGCATCGAAGGACGACCGGTGTAATGATACTACGTAAGTAGTTACATTGCTGTGTTTTGAATTTAAATATGAAAAGTTATGATATATTTTATTAATATTTATTAATAAATGTTTTTTTTATCAATTATTGAATGAACTTCTCAAAAATTCTTGAAGAAAATTTGATGATATTTATATCGTTCATATTTTTTTCTATTTGGAAAAAAACAGAGAATTTCATTGATTATTTTGAATATTATTATTATTTTTTTTTAGGGAATTTCGATTCTGATGAAGACATGGGCCAAGAAAGCAGGTCGTGGAACGCGGAATCGCTCATCGCGCATTAAGAGGATCTTCACTCGGTTTGCTCGTCGCCGGAAGTCGCACGTCGTTCATAAACCTAAGTCTAGAACGGGCGCATTCGACCACATTTAATTGTTAACTCGACTGTCTTTGTGTATGCCATTACGTAATTGAACTTGACAGAAGAAACTATTAAATTTGTAATTTGTGCTCATGATTTCTTTAGAAACAATGCTTTTTTTAATAAGTGAGCAATCTACATTTGTTTTCGTGTATCCTTTGTATAAATACAATTAAAATTAATTAATATTTATAGAGTCAAATTGTGAAAAATTATGCTAACTGTAAGTTAATCAGGATCTAAATTATTTAGTATTATATTCTTTACAATTGATCACATCTTGTCGAATTCATTAAATTGTAATGAGTCATATAAGAAGTAGAAGAAATAATTGAAAAAATTTATTGTCTCATAGATTTGAAAGAAAAAGAAAGAAAAATAGTTTGTATTAAAGTAGAATTTGATGGAAAAAACGAAATTAAATTAAATATTATCTTTAGTTAGTTAATATATATATTCAGTTAGATAATATATATATTAATTTTCTTATATTTTTTGAAGATCATTATCATCTAATCTCCAATTTCTAACTTTGTTATTTCGAATGTCAAGAGCTTTCTATGGCCTCGATAAATTCATCGAATGAGTTGGTGCAAGTTTCAGTTTCGAGCAGGCTAATCACGTTACTGCTTACAGCATGTCTTCTTCACAGGGAATTACGTTCCGGTTCGCGTTCACGGAACTATCGCTCGTAATCCTATAAAGTGGGTAGAGAAATTTCTGAAACAGCTTCTCAGAGACCTGTCATTTCTCAGAGACCTTGAACTATACCGCTTCTCCGTAAAAAAGCAACTATTCGTGTAGATCGAAATAAATCCAACAACGAAGAAAAAATCTTACTCGAATGAAATAAAATTTATCTTCCAAAGATTAAAAATCGGAGACCTTAAAAAAAGAACTGATTAAAAATATTTCGAGTTTCATTCGATTATATGAGAAAAAAAGATAAGTTAAAAAAAAAATGGAAAATAAGAGTGTATAACCAAAAGATAAAAAACGAGTGACAAGATGAGAGATTAAAATAGTCAGTTACCAAACATGTCTTTGACTATACGGTATCCTATCCTACTTGCTACTCGTTGCACGATCATTATTTCGTTCCATACATCATGTTTCGTTGGTTATCATTTTTTTTCTATTTTTTGAACAATAAGCTAATGAATCTTTCGCTCTTTATTAATTACAGTTTCATCTTTCTTCTTTTCAACATAGAAAAGAGAGAAATTCTTGCTATTTCGAATTTTTTACATTCTATTTATTCAAGAATATTCTCAATTCCTCTTTTAAATTACTAACCTCTGTTATTGGCAATAGATACGAAAAATTCATGAGAGAAAATTCGAGGATTGCGTAAAGGAAATATATAAAGAAACTCGGCTTCTGTGAATTATAAAATGCAATGGCAAAAGTGTTTTCAAAGATTTCGTTGTGGAATCTTTGCATGCTATCTGCATGCGCTACTTGCTCGACTATAGTTTTATTCGATGTACTTACATGTTATATTTCACTTTATCAATTACTTGTCAGTTTTTTCTCACAGAGACATTTTTCCTTCTACATTTTCTATGAACAGTGTTTTTTGATCCTTTTTTCGATATAGAAAAAATATTTTTTCGAACATTTGTATATTCCTTATCATTCTGTTTTCTGAAAGCTAAAAGTAAAAGGAAAAAATTCATTTCTATGAATATTTCCTCATAATCTTTTGCGTTTCAATAGATGTCTATAATCGATTTGTTGCGCGATTATCTACACAAGATCTATTGTAACGAACGGTTCTTTCTTGATCCATATGCTCCGTTTTTGTGCTCCAGTTAATCGACACGCGATTAATCAATTCCATGGTTCGTCGATCACGCTGATTACGAGTTCGATTGGGAAATCATGAATTTTCACCATTAGCGATCAGACTCTTTGATTTATTTCATATTTTAATCCTTCTTAATATTTCACTTTCACTGAAATAATGATTCAATCATTATCGAAATTGTTTTTATAGGAAACATTGATATATTTATAATCATTCCAGAAAGCATAAATATTATAATGCTTAAAATTGTTAACTGAGATATAATAATAGATAAATTTTTGCTCGATAGATAATATATTCTAGAACTTGTCTTGTTGGAATATCACGAAAAAATAATACTTTTAATTTCTACGTTTAACAAGGATGGATGAAAAATCAGTGGTGATTGGATAAGTAACATTTCGAAGATGGTAACTTGTTCCTCGAACAGGAATTCGTATATTACCTAAGACAGGTTTAAAATACAATATTTGTAAAAAAAATTTTTCTGAAAATGATTAGATTGTGGACGTACCGAAGAGCCATAATATATAATTTTTTATCATTCAGTGATAGCTCGTCATTCAGCTACTTATTCCATAAAAAATTTATAAGTTTGATTTTTTTTCGATGCTTTGTTTTTAATATTTCAGTTTTGAATTTTTCTTTTTTTCTCGTAAGTGATTGTTGCATAAATTTCAAGATCTGTAGATTGAACTTCAAATCGTGAAATCATGAACAAGCATATAATTCATCCTCATCGATGCTATTACGATACTGAATTCGCAATCGACGTGCTATTTATTTATCATGATATTGTTAAATAATAGAAAAATAGCTGAAGGATATTGAAAAAGAATTTATAAG